TGTCTGTACCGTTGTAAATACATGTTGAGTTTTGGTGAAGTATGAGTTAGAATGTTATTGCTGTTTCACAGCAAAGCTAAAAAATAAAATGAGAGCTAAAACATGCGTAATCAGAGCTAAAATAAATGTGTGCATACACAACTATAAGTAAAGTCTAAATTGTTTTATATTAAAGGTCTAAACACAGCATATGACATCAGCTAGAGTCAGAATGTAACTACTTTCTAAAAGGAAAAACCCTCACATCGACATTTGGTTTAAAATTGTGATTGCTTAGAGATGAATTGACAAATGTGAAAAAGCAGTAGAATTAGTATGGATATCAGCATTAGTGTAGACTGTGTAACTTCTTGGTAACTGCACTGATTAATTCTGTTTGAAGTATTTCATGTTAGTTTTACAAGACCAAGAAAAGAGGAGACTGAAGTTGGAAGGAATTTTTCTATTTGAGGAGGAGAGGTGAAGGGGAAGAGAAATCTGTTCATGTGTATTGTCACTTAAAATAAGTCACAAAAATGAATTTATACGTAAAGACCACTCTTTATATTTTTTCATTTACTGTAAACACCTCTTGGAAAACCAAATATACGTAACTGTATTAAGATGATGAGGTTTTGTTTTCAGTTGCTGTCCATCTGTTTTTAGTAACCTTAGAACCAGATTTTAGGATCTATTCCTTAGAATATATAAGAATGATCTACATGGTATTTCAAAGCTAGGACAATGGCATTGAGTAGACTTGAAATACTTTAACTTCTTGTGCTTAGTAGTCTTAACTCCTTCCAGAATGATATTTCCCTTTCTGGAACAACGTCAGGTTTATGACTCTTATTTAGTCTGTGATCCAATACAGCTCCCCAAGTTCTTTTCTACTTTATTACTCTTCAGGTGGCTAATTCTGTGTGTGTGTGTGTTTTTGTTTTGGGGTTTTTTTATTATCACTTTAATTCTCTCTTTCACATTTAGAGCATTTTGTTTTGCTTTCACCTGCATATACTTTTATCTGGTCGGCTTTAGAATCCCTGATTTCCCAAGCTCACCTGCAATCAGTATCGTCTCTTCCGTACTCCTTGCAACTCCCATCCCCCAGTTTGGTGGCATTTGTGGATTCTTCGAGGAGGCTTCTGTTTGGTCACCCACATTAATAATGAAAATACTAAGCAAGACTTGCTGCAGGTCAAGTTCTAGCTGGACTGACCTGAGATGCTTTCTGGTTTTTATACTGAGCCAGTGCTTTAGTTCTCTGAAAGCAAATTTTTCCAGTAGTTATGCTTGTCTACACTGATGACTTTGGATCTACGGTCTCCAGGTCATGTTGAACAGTATCAGAAGTGTCATTTACGTAAACTACACTGGCTGCTTCACTAAGACATTTACCCAAGGGAGAATATTATATTGGTTTGATGTGGCTTCCTGACTGTAATTTATCTTTCTCCTCTAACTTAAATTGATTTTTACCCCACTTCTTTTTCCCCAGCAATATACACAAATCTTTCTAAGCATCAGAATTATGTTATTTGTCTTACTGCTTCGTAAGTCTTTTCTTACTTCTTCACTATTGTTAAAGGACGTGTACCCTGTTTCATATTGCTCTGGGATCTCTCCTGTGCTTTACTAGTTCTTGGAGCAAATCAGTAATAGTTTAGGAATTATTGAGACTAGTTATTTATATACTCTAGTACACATTATTGTAAGTAGGTGGATTTGACTGTCAGTTTTTCTAATTCAAAGATCAGTTGGGTTTTTTGTTGGAGTTTTTTTGTTTGTTAAAGGAGAATTTGAGTGTTACTTTTGCTAATGTTCTTGGCCGCTTCCTTGTGGAGCCCTATAGTATTGGGGTCCCTCACTATCTAGATCAGATTCTAAAATCAGCTGCTGATGCTATGTGCCACCACAGGTTTAGCCTTCTCTGTAGGCTTTGATGGACTGGGTGAGATCCAGAATCAATGTGGGCTGTCCAAGCCAGCATGCTATTGAAAAGACACCATTAAGTAACTCATTCTTAATGAATTTGAGAGCAGTGTTGGTATTTTTCAAAATCAAAAAGATAATACTCCTCTTTTTTTGGGGGGTGGTGGTGGTGGTGGTTTTTGTTGTTGTATGTGAGTGTGATTTGTAGACCACCATCCCCAAAACTAACTCGCAGAGTTTTGCTGGACCGGTATTTCACTCAGGAAGACTTGGAGGGAATAACTAATTCTGTGTTGGTATTGCTAACCACCTACTTGCATGTATGATGTTTTTCTGCAGTTCCTATCTGGGCAAGACTAGGACCGACTTAAAGGTCTTCTTGCCTGAGTCAGAGCAGTATAAAGAGCGTAGAGAAGGAGGTTCTTGGCTTGCAAAGATATAAAAAGCCAGACAAGTGAGTGGCCTGTGTGACTATTTTTGTTGTACTATATCTGTCATTTGAGCAGACTTGCTGTAACTTCAGCAACATACAGTATTGCTAGGTATCTTATAAATGTATACTGTAATATAGATCTCGGGACTGCCTGGCTGATAGGTCTTCCCCGGTGATGACTGGAAACACTTAGTAAAGGACCACAGTTCAAAAAGTCTGTTCAAATAGCTGTAGCACAGCTACATGTGCTGAAAGCTGAAGGCATGGTGACTGGAGACTATCCAGAAATCTCTAATGGCTCTTTTCCTAAATGGTTGCTGTTTGACAGATTTCTTCTGTGAATTACTGAACCAGTATTGAACATCCTTTGCTGGTCCTGCCAATTACACCTCTCAAACAGCACACTAAAACCCCTACCCCAAGAAGATGCTGTATCTTTTCCTTTATTTAATTCCATGAAATAGACTATACTGGTAAAATCGAGACATTAAAGTGCAACGGAAGACAAACAGATGCAAATTCCATCTGGTTTAGTATTTTTTTCCATGTAGGTTTTCTGATAACTTCTACTTGATGCATGGGCTTCTGTTTAATCTGTCATGTCTGAGAAGGTATTTTAAGTGCAAAACAAGGAGAAAATAATTCCAAATGGCTGGAGGACTGAAAATGTAGCTGTGCAGCAGAGTTTTACATCAGTTTGCCTTTTTTAATGGGAAAGAAAATTTCAGGATATTTGCTAAAAATAAAAATTGCAAGACCTAAACCAACAGAATTGTTACTGAACTTAGGAAAATGTTACGCTTTTGAGTGAAGGCTGGTTTTTCTTTTCTATTTATGTTCTTTTCCACATCGTTAGTGGAATTAATCTCACTTGTGAACAGCTGTTGAAATAATAAATCCTGCTACTCAAATTGTAGTTATAGTTGTTCTGTTTTTTTGAAAGTCCCAAGCAGATTTAAAAAGCAAAACCAAAAACCTCAGCTGGTAAAGCCATCAGAGGATAAAGTAGGCAGCTTACACAATAGAAGTTGCAAGTGGAAAAAATTACTAAGTTAAATAGAACATCCTTGAGTTTGGCCTACACGTTAATTCACTGAATGCTTTTAAGCTGGTGCCCCCTTTGGAAGGGGTGGTTCTGGCTTCCCCCGTCTGCTGATTTGATGGTTGTTTGAGGGTCTTTCACCCAGGAATAGTGACAGAGGATGGGTGTGTGAAGTCTGAACTCCAGTGCACAGCACATGTGCTTGCATTGCCTTGTTAAGCACAGGGGGCATCTTTTAAATGTCTTAGTTCAGCTAATCAAATATTTCATGGTGGGTTGTGTTGCAGCACAGGTTCTGATGCATTTGGATAAAACTGTCCCGCACGGTGTGAAGCTGTACAGTTTAGTTCTTGAAACTGTTATGTCAGGGTTTTCCTGAGATTTTTTACTACTTAAAAGTGATCCTTTTCTGAGTGACTCTGCCTGATGTATGAGGGTAGCATATCTTGAGTTGGCTGCCTA